CTGGCGGGTTTTCTCTGTTGGAGTCCATTCAGCTTTGATTTCAGCTATTGCAATTTCACTGGAGGTGCTTGCAATAAAGGAAAGATTTTTGTTACTAAAGGTCCGGTCGTTTACCTTAAGTCTTCGTTTTTTACATATTTGTCTGTGATTTTTCTTAGATATGGGTTTGAGTTCATTTCGATAAAATTGTTGCCTAAAGAATCCTGCTGCGTATTTGTTGCTATGTGTACCTATGCCCTGTTTAGTATAATTAATCATCTATTTGTTAATTATGAGAAGAAAAGCATGATAATTTTAGGAGTAAATGTATAATTGGATCTTTGTCTTTAATCAAGCGGGTCGTCAGTTCTTTTAAGAATACTTGGGCTTTAAGGCTATTATTTGGACCGAGCATTTGCATTTATTTGAATCTCATCATTATCCATTGGCATTTTAATTCACTCTGTAGTTTAATTTTTAATTTCGAAAGAATGTTAGCAATTAATTAAGTTGTAACATAATTGTTCTTGTTAATAAGTTTTAGTTAAAACATACATTTCTTCCTCAAGTAATTCCATAATTCATGACCTTATAATAATCTCAAACTTTAAGAAGAATAATGAATACCGATAGAGTGCTTTGGGCGCACTTTTAATTAGTTTATCGTGATTATGTATACGTTCGCGTGACATAATTGTGATTTCCAAAATTAAAACCAAAGTATGTGTTTACACAACTTTGGTAAAATCAATCTTAATATAATAAAATGCTATTAATTGTGTACACATACGTGTGACATAATTTTGGCACAATAAATAAAACGGATTCACACATAGTGATTCATTTCAAAGATAGTTCTATATTTTAATAATTAAAAGCGGATAGATAAAACATAAAAACTAATAAATCATAGTTTATCTAAAATTAATTCAAGCCAAGCTATAGCCAATAAAGCGACTGTGTTAGAACCATGTGACTCGGGGAATGCCTTACACCTTCTCTCCGGTCAACAAAATTTCTTATTCGGACTTTATTTTCGTAGACCAAATTAGAAAAAAGTCAAATCTTCTTTATAATAGGGATTCAAATAAAAGGTGACTTGGAATACCAAAACATCAATTCCAAGTGGCGACTCTGAATAATAAAATAATTCCTATTTCAAAAATATCACTTTAATTGGAAAAACTCTTTAACCCACAAGAATTCATAACACACTTATCTTATCATTTTGCGGGTAGAAAAGGTATGTGACATCAATTTTCTCCTAAAATGAGGCTTCCAAATGTTCATCCAGTTCACATTAATCTTGTCAAATTCAACAAATCTCCACCTTGGCAAGATTCCACCAATTTTATCTCACTGATAAATTTTGATTGTGTCTTCAACTTCAATCTTCAAATTTCAACAATGTTGATCAAGTTCAAACAATGTTGAAACTTGATCGCAGTCACTACTTTTGTTAGCATATCAGCAGGGTTGTCTGTAGTTCGGATTTTCTGTACCATGACTCCACATTCTTCTATAATATCTCGTATAAAGTGATATCGAACATCAATGTGCTTCGTCCTTGCATGATAAACTTAGTTCTTTGCTAATTGGATAGGACTCTGACTATCACAAAATAATGTGATGCTTTCTTGACCAATATCAAGCTCTCTAAGCAACTCGTGAAGCCAAATTGCCTCATTTATAGCCTCCATAGTTGCCATGTACTCTGCCTCAGTAGTAGACAAAGCAACCGTTGACTGCAAAGTAGACTTCCAACTAGCTGGTGCATGTGAAAAAGTGAAAACATAACTAGTAGTTGATCTACGCTTGTCCAAATCACCCGCATAATATGAATCACAATATCCAACTAGATACTGACTATCTTCCTGCTCAAAAATCAATCCAACATCTACAATATTACGAATATACCGTAGAATCCATTTTACAGCTTGCCAATGCTCTTTTCCTGGATTATGCATATACCTGCTTACAACTCCGATAGCATGTGAAATATCAGGTCTTGTGCAAACCATTGCATACATCAAGCTACCAACGACATTCGCATATGGTACTCTTGACATTTACTCTCGTTCAGCTTCATTTTTCGGCGACATAGCAACACTAAACTTAAAGTGAGGAGCAAGCAGAGTGCTAACTGACTTCGTGTTCTCATTCATGCCAAATCGATCTATTACTCTTTTCAAGTATTGTTTCTGAGATAGATAGGGTTTCTTTGAATGTCTATCTCGTTTTATCTCCATGCCAAAAATTGTTTTTGCCTCACCTAATTCCTTCATCTCAAACTCCTTTCTTAGTTGAATCTTCAACTTCTCAATTTTCTCTTGACTTTTGGAAGCTGTCAACATATCATCAACATTTAGGAGAAGATATATGAAGGTTCCATCTTCAAGCTTGCGCAGATACACACAATGATCGTATTTGCTTCTTCTGTACCTCTTCCGCAACATAAACTTGTCAAATCGCTTGTACCATTGTCTAGAAGATTGTTTTAATCCATACAACAAATTTTCAAGTTTGTACACCATATTTTCTTTTTCAGCAACTTTGAATCCTTCTGGCTAAGTCATATAGATTTTCTCTTCCAGGTCTCCATGTAAATATGCAGTGTTTACATCTAACTGAACTAGTTTCAAATTCAACTATGCTACCAAAGCCAACAAAACTCTAATGGAGGAGTGCTTCACGACTAGGAAAATACCTCATTGTAATCAATTCCCTCCTTTTGAGCGTATCCCTTGTTCACCAATCTTGCTTTGTAGCGAACATCTTCTTGGTTAGGAAATCCTTCTTTCTTTGCAAATACCCATTTGCGCCCAATTGCTTTCTTGCACTTCGGGAGATTGTCCAATTTTCATGTACGATTCTGATGAAAGGATTGCATTTCTTCATTCATGGCAATCCTCCACTTATCTTCTTCTGAGATTTGGACTGCGTCTTTATAAGTGGTAGGAATACCATCAGTTACAATTGAGAGGCTGCACAAGCCACCGTCTCTATGAGACGGTCATGTTTCTTTATTGTTCTTTTTGGCTTGCTGGTTGCTATTGATTCAAGTTGTTGTTGAGGTTCCTGAATTGGAATCTCCCTCTCTGTTGACTCTTCTTCAAGGGGAAAATATTTTATTGTTTCCTCGTTTTCTCCCTATGTTGGAAAAATTAATTTTCCCTCAAACTCCACCTGCTTTGAAGCACCACCAATTTGTTTGGCATCTTCAACTGTCACCTTATCTGTTATGGCATATTCATCAAAAGTAACATCTTTGCTGAATATAATTTTTCTTGTCTATGGACACCATAATCGGTATCCTTTGACTCCAAAAGTAATCCCCATAAATATAGCTTTTTTTGCTCTCGGATCCAATTTTGACTCTTTCACATGATAGTATACAATTGAGCCAAACACATGCAAAAAGTTATAATCTTCAGTAGGTTTTCCATACCATTTTTCAAATGGTGTCTTGCCTCCAATAGCGATAGATGGTAGACAATTAATGAGGTGGCGTGCATATGTTATTGCATCAGCCTAAAATTCTTTGCCCAAGCTAGCATTGGATAACATATACCAAACCTTCTCCGGCAATGTCCGGTTCATACGTTCTGGCACTCCATTCTGTTGTGGCGTATTTCTGACGGTGAAATCTCTCAAAATTCCATCATCTTCACAAATCTTATTGTAAAGATCAATTTTGTATTCTCCACCGTTATTTGTGTGAAGACACTTTATCTTTCTGCCTGTTTGAGTCTCTATCATCGCCTTCAATTTGAGAAAAGTTCCCAACACCTCATCTTTGGTTTTCATAATATACACCCACTGTCACAACTCGCAATTTGGAGTTGTGATCTCGGCCAAGAACTGGTGAGAAAAGGTCCTTCTGATGGTCTGACGTAGAACTGTCTACTCGGGTAACTTGGGATTTTTAATTTTAAGCATATATAAGGGGGGTATAGGTGATGAAAGCTCCGACCTGCCTCCCCCATACGTTCTGCCACCAAGCCGTATAGAACGAGCTACCTTGGGAGCAACCTCAAGGGCCTGCCTAGATGTCTCAAAGGAGTGTCAAAGGTATCCACACGAGTTTGGGAACTCGTGTGGATGACGCTACGCCTTCGGGCCTACTTTGGGCATCAAAGTGGCAATGGAGGTTCGATGTGTGGAACGGCTAGCCCCGTAGACTGCCGAATGTTGGAACTATACCTCCGTGCTGAATGGATACTTGACGCACCTATCATAGGGGCATCATGTGTCGACTTGTGAGCATGGCTTGGGTCAACCATGCAAGTAAGGGTCCGTTGGCCTAAAGGTACAGTTGTGGGGCGACACTGCACTATTCGGGATGGAAGCGTGTCGCGAGGGCAATGTATGGGCATGGCACAAAAGACGCGCATGACAATGACCAAGGGCTAAAGGTTGCCTTACTCGGGCGAGGCACGAGCTAGTCGCGGATGCACTAAGCGAGTGTCAGGCTTGAGGGTTGGGTTGTGCATGCGGGAGCGATGCTCAGTCTTGGGCTAAGGACAAGGTATGTCCTAAGCCAATCCCACAGGGCGCACATGGATTGTGATCCTAAAATGAAGTGCCACGACCTGTCTAAGACCAAGGGCCTAGGCCTCTTACGGGCGGCACAAGTTGGGGAGAGCCTACGGGCGAGTCCCATCAACAGGCACAGGATCATGCTTGGGAATCCTGGGATAGGATAACGCCTGGCCTGCAACGAGGGGAACTGCGGGCGCCGCACGGGCAAGCAGGTGACGCTACCCTATGTAAGGATTTGGGCCCATGACACTTGGTATCAGAGCTGATTAAGGCCATATTATGCGATGGCACAACGTCAAGGCAAAGGGTGGATATGGCGATCGCATTTTGGATGTAAGTGCAGAGATCACGTCAATGTAGAGATTGATGTTCATATGCCACCAAAGATCGAGAACCCGATACTGATGGTCGACGAAATAAATGGGTGATTCCATTGTATTTCATGAGTCTAAGGTGCTACTGAATGAGGAGATATACCGATGAGTCGGATGGCCAAGAGAAAGCCATGTTTGCCAGGTCGTTCAACCATATTGCGAAGAGTGGGAGCCATGGACTATAAACTTGGGCATGATCATAGCGGAGATCTTGCCAAGGATGCGTGCAACACATCAAGTGGAGTGTCTTTCCTACGGGAGAAGACCTTTGGGCTGCCTGAGGGCATTGCCAAGGTGAGGAAACAGATTCGAGGGTATAGCGAAGCTTCGAAACTTGGAGGATTTCCAAGTTAGAAGGTGTCATTTTGGAAAGAGGTACGTTGAATGATCGGGGACCGTGCGTGTCCAGGTGCGAGGCACACCGAACCGGGAAGCCGTGATAGCAGGGCCAAGAGGGCGCCTGTCTATAGGGCGAGTATTGAAGTACTACCGGGAGCATTGGCTACTTGCTGAGGAAGTGACAGTTGGAAAACAAAGATCCTTGTTTGGGAATGCGGCGATCGATGCTATGACTTTGGAAATGTAGTACTCACCAAAGGTCGTCCCAACTGCTGGCCGAATGCCAAGTGGGACGACAGAGCTAAGATGTATCCTCCACATTGAGTGTGGGAGGATCCCGCCTATGCAAGAGGCATATGGGAGAAGTCGTGGGTCTGGAAGCGAGCACATCTTCAAGGTAGTGAGGGCAAGGAAAGCTACGAGAGCGAAATGCTACGTGAGCTATGCCAAGAGGGCATCTTAATGCTACGGGAGCGAAAGGCTACGGGAGCCATGCCAAGGGCATCTTAAGGCTACGGGAGCGAAAGGCTACGAAAGCGACGTCAAAAGAGAACATGATGTGCTAACTTGTGAAGGGAAAGCTTCAGACTGACATGAAGGCCGTGAGGGTCATGGTGTGATTGAATAGTGTGGGTCAATCACAAAGTTAGACACCAGAGAGTGCAAGTACGAAGGCACGCTTGGAAGATACTTAGGGGAGAAGTGCATAGGGCACGACTCCTTTTGAGAAAGGACTTCGAGGAAGTCCAACCCACAGGACAAAGGGAGCTTAAATGGGCATACCTGAGGGGGCAGACTCCGGGATGTCTTAAGCCATGATGTGTCATCGGGGACGATGACATTATGAGTGTGGGAGGATGTCACAACTCACAATTTGGAGTTGTGATTTCGGCCAAGAACTGGTGATAAAAGGTCCTTTTGATGGTCTGACGTAGAACTGTCTACTCGGGCAACTTGGGCTTTTAAATTTTAAGCATATATAAGGGGGGTATAGGTGATGAAAGCTCTGACCTGCCTCCCCCATACGTGCTGCCACCAAGCCGTATAGAACGAGCTACCTTGGGGGCAACCTTAAGGGCCTGCCTAGATGTCTCAAAGGAGTATCAAAGGTATCCACACGAGTTTGGGAACTTGTGTGGACGACGCTATGCCTTCGGGCCTGCGTTGGGCATCAAAGTGGTGCTGGAGGCTCGATGTGTGGAATGGCCAGCCCCGCGGGCTGCCGAATGTTGGAACGAGACCTCCGTGCCGATTGGATACTTGACGCACCTGTCATAGGGGCATCATGTGTCGACTTGTGAGCATGGCTTGAGTTCAACCATGAAAGCAAGGGTCCATTGGCCTAAAGGTGTAGTTTTGGGGCGACACTACACTATTCGGGATGGAACCGTGTCGCGAGGGCAATGTATGGGCATGGAAGGAAAGATGCGCATGACAATGACCAAGGGCTAAAGGTTGCCTTACTCGGGCAAGGCATGAGCTAGTCGCGGATGCACTAGGCGAGTGTCAAGCTTGAGGATTGGGCTGTGCACGCGAGAGCGATGCTCAGTCTTGGGCTAAGGACAAGGTATGCCTTAAGCCAATCCCCCAGGGTGCGCATGGATTGTGATCCTAAGATGAAGCGCCATGACATGTCTATGGCCAAGGGCCTAGGCATCTTATAGGCGGCACAAGTTAGGGCGAGCCTACGGGAAAGTCCCATCAACAGGCACAAGATCGTGCTTGGGAATCCTGGGATAGGAAAAAGGCTGGTCTGCAGCGAGGGAAACTGCGGGCGCCGCACAGGCGAGCAGGTGCCGCTACCCAATGTAAGGATTTGGGCCCGTGACACCCACACTCTTCGAGAAAAGTCATCAATAAAGGTTACAAAATAGTGTTTTTTACCTAATGAAGGTGTTTTAGAATCACCCCAAACATTATAGTGAACATAATCCAAAATACCTTTAGTATTATGGATAGCTGTTCCAAATTTAACACTTGTCTGTTTTCCCTTGACACAATGCTCACAAAAATTGAAATTGCAAGTCTTTACTCCTTTTAACAATCCTTAATCTCATAAAATTTTCAAGGATTTTTTTCCAGCATGTCCCAAGCACATGTGTCATAGCTTGGTTGCTTCTGCCTCCTTGTCATCACTTGATGTCACTAATGTTGTCCCAATAAATGTACTACTATGATAGTGGTACATGTTATTATTTCGCCGAATTACCTTCATTAATACTAGTGCACAAGAGCATATTCTCATTACCCTATTTTCTGCAACGACTTTGAGCCACTTTGACTCTAGGGCTCCTACAAAAATGAGATTTTTCTTCAATTCCGGTACGTATCGAACATTTGTTAATGTTCTGATCAATCCATCATGGTTCCTTAATCGGATTGAACCAATACCATATGCGGTAAGATGAATGTTATTTGCGGTGTGAATAACTCCATATTCTCCTTCTTGAAAATCAACGAACCAGTCCCTGTTGGGACACCTATAATAGCTACAAGCTGAATCCATCAACCATATGTCAGATGGTTTGAATGGCTCACTTGTAACTAGTGAGAAATCAGAGTAGTCACAATCACCTACATTTGAATCTATGATAGCCTTCCCATTGTTAGGTATGGCCTTGTTTTTCAACTTTGGATAGTCTTTCTTCTAGTGCCTCTTTTCTCGGCAAAAGGCGCATTCATCTTTGCTGGGTCAGGATCTTGACTTGGATCTTCTTTTCTTCGTTCTCATATGATTTTGAGAACGACCTCGCACGACCAATGCTTCTTCTTCTCCACTCTTTTGTTTTTCTCTTTTTCTTTGTTCATAGTTGTACAAGGCAAAACAAACTTCTTTGAGAGACACTTAATCATTCCCATGATGTAGAGTAGTTTTGAGGTGCTCGTACTCATCGAGAAGTGAACTTAATAATATTAAGTCCATATCTCCATCACTAAAAGTCACGTCCATATTCTGTAAATCTATCTCCAACTTATTAAAGCTGGTGATATGATCATTCATTATAGTACCAAGAACATATGTGAAGCATAACGGTCTTTTTTTCATGTAAGGTTTATTTTGACTGTTTTCCTTCAAGAATTTATCCTCTATTGCATTCCACAATTTACTTGCAGAAGTTTATTTTGTATATGGATACTTCTGTTCACTTGCTAGGTACGATCGAATGGTACCATAAGCGACGCGATTGATAATCTTTCAATCTCCTTCTCCGATATTTTTCTGGTTTCTTTTCTTCTATGGCAATATCTAGCCCTTGTTGAAAAAGGACATCAGAACCTCAGCTTGCCACATCTCGAAATGTCCTGACCCGTCAAAAATTTCAACTGCAAATTTCGCATTTGACATAATTTTTGTCATAAGAGAAGATGCCAACGACGCATTACTGACAGCCAATGTGGACTCTTCATTTTTATTATCTCCTATTTTGCTACAAATACTATTTATTTGCTGACAGTACAAAACACCAAAGTAATTCTTTTCTGATGTGGAAGTTTAGACTATGCTGCAACCACAAAGCATACTAAGATAGAACCTTGGCTCTGATACCAAATGTTCCGGAAAACAAATATATATAGAGTGATTAAATCACAACTACTATATCTAAAGGTAGCTAATAAATAGTAAATGAGACAATAATAAAAAGAACTCCAGAAATTAACGAAGTTCGGCAAAATTTGATTTTTGCCTAATCCTCGGACACAATCAACTCAAACTTTATTTTACTCCAAAAATACAAGTAAAATACTACAGGAGAGAAAAAAGATTTAAATGCCTTAGGAGATAAGAAGGCAAGTGAGAGATGTTTACAAATGAACAAACTCTAGCTATTTATAGAAGAGAAATTGCCTTAATAATGTGATGTAACATATCCATTCTGAAACTATAACATCAACTTCTTCATCAATTTCAACATTTTGAACTAACCAAAAAGTATGATATAGTCATTAGTCACCACGGTAAAATGAATTTATATAATAACAAGGGATTTATTTATCCATAATAAAGCGATTCAATTACGACAAAGTTAGAAATGCCTACTTTTTCATTGGTGACGACTATGGAATTTCAGGTGTAGTGAGAACATTACGATATGTTCTTCTCTTTCCTAATGTTTGAGGGGCATGGGCATCAGGTAGTAACTTAATGCCATTGAATATTGAAACCTATTCACTTCTCACCTAGGTTCTTCTTCCTTTCTCTCTCTCTTAATTCATGAAAAGGGAAGGTTAATTCTAAAATGATTCTAGGACTTGCAACAACTAAAATGTCACTCGACGGGATTCTAGTTGTCTTATCAACCAAATTTTGAAGCATATTTTAATGGTTGTTGGTTAGAGATGGACTTTATTTATACTGATATAAGCTCCCGATTAGTTTAGGTTATTTCATAAGTCCCAGAGTGAAGGGTACCACTACTACATCCCCATCTCCCTCCATTGAGCCTACCGGCTTTACAGAAGCCTCTAAGTTCAAAGAATGGCGTGATGCTATGTCATCTGAGATGACAACTTTGTTAAAAATCAAACATGGTCATTGGTTTCCTTCAATTCCTCCATGAACACTCTAGGGTGCAAATGGATCTTTCAGATTAAAAGAAACTCTGCTGGAGCTATTGAGCGCTATAAGGCTCGCTTAGTTGCCAAGGAATTTCATCAGGTTGAGGGTCAAGATTATCATGAAACATTCAATCCAGTCATTAAGCCCATGACAATTCAAATTATATTATCATTGGCAGTCACCTATGGTTGGACTCTAAGGCAATTAGATGCATGCTCAAAATACTTTTCTACATGGTGATCTTCAAGAGGATGTCTATATGGTTTAGTCTCCCGGTTTTGTTCATGTTTGCGAGCTTCACAAATCTCTTTACGGTCTTAACCAAGCTCCATGAGCTTGGTATAAAAAGCTTAATTAATTTTTCATCTTTGTTGGTTTCACCACCTCTAAGACTGATGTTTCTTTGTTTATCTACTTTCATTACAATGTGGTTGTCTACCTATTAGTCTATGTGGATGATATTGTGCTCACAGGAAACCGCTCTTCATTTATTGACTCATTTGTTCAAGCTCTGGGTCATGCATTCTCCATAAGGGACCTTGGTCCACTACATTACTTCCTTGGAATTCAGGTGTGCCACAATAGTGATGGTATTTGTCTCTCTCAATCTCAGTATATCCAGAGTATCCTCACCAAAGCTGGTATGATTCATTGTAAGCTTCTAAGCTCACCCATGGCCACAAATGCAAAGCTTAACAAAGGTGACATTCCCGACTTTGATGATCCAAGTCTTTATCGACAAGCTGTTGGTGCACTTCAATATCTTACTTTAACAAGTCCGGACATATCATTTATGGTAAATAAAGTGTGCCAGTTTATGCACAATCCATCGTTAAACCAGTGGGTTGCTGTGAAGCGCATCCTTAGATATCTCCAGCACACTAAATCCATGTCATTTCTCATTTCAAAGGCTTTTAACCTTTATTTACAAGCTTTTACAGACTCCGATTGGGCTGGTAGTATTGATGATCGCTGTAACGATCCGGCCGGTTATTTCGAGAGCTATAATACCATTTTTATACATTTCTACTTCTTTTCATGTTATTCAGCTATATTATGTTATATCGGGTTAGTTCGTTTGGGACCGGAGTGGTTTCAAAGTGAATTGAGACACTTAGTCTCTTAAGTAGAAACTTAAGTTAGAAAAGTCAACCGGATGTTGACCTATGTGTCAACGATCTCAAATTTGAATTCTGATGGTTCTGTTAGCTCCGTTAGGTAATTTTGGACTTAGGAGTGCGTCCGGAATGTGATTTAAAGGTCCGTGGTAGAATTAGGCTTGCATTGGCGAAATTAGAAATTTGACAATTTTGGTCGGCTGTGGAAAATTTGATATAGGGGTCGGAATGGAATTCCGGAAGTTGGAGTAGGTTCATGGTGTCATTTGTGATGTGTGTGCAAAATTTGAGGTCATTCGGACGTGGTTTGGTTGGTTTCGGCATCGGGTGCAGAATTTAGAAATTTAGAAGTTCTTAGCCTTGAATCTGAGGGTAATTTGATGATTTGATGTTGTTTTGAGTGATTCGAAGGTTCGAATAAGTTGGTATGTTGATATATGACTTGTTGATATTTTTGGTTGAGGTCCTGAGGGCCTCGGGGTGATTTCGGGTGGTTAACAGATTTGTCAAAGTTGGAAAATGCAGCTGAAGCTGCTGCTACTACTATTTTTGCACCTGCGGAAGAAAGAGTCGCAGGTGTGAGGCCGCTGGTGCGCGTGAGGAATTCGCAGGTGAGGGCAATGCTGGGCTAGGCAGGATGCACAGGTGCGAGTTGGAGGTCGCATCTGCGAGCCTGCAGGTGCGAAACCTGGGGCGCAGATGCGGAAAAGGGAATGCTGGGCAGGCTTCGCAGAAGCGGAGGAAACGCGCAGGTGCGCCTTCGCAGGCGCGGGGTTTTGGGCCACAGATGCGGAAGCTGGGCTCCTAAGTGAGTTCCGCACCTGTGATGGAGTTTTTCGCAGTTGCGGTGGGGCAGAAGCGTGAAAGTTTCCGCATGTGCGAAAAACCTGGGCTTTAAATAGAACCCTTTGCGAATTTCGTTCATATCCACCATTTTCAAGTTGGTTTTTTGAGCTTTTGAAGTGATGTTTGAAGGGTGATTCAAGGGCTATCAGTGAGTTAAGTTTCTTGAGCCCTAATATTCGTATTTATGATGATTTCCCGTTGTTTAATCATGTAATAAGTGAAAATTAGGAGTTAGGGCTTGGAATTATTAAAGAGTAATTTAAGGATTTGAAAGACCAAACGATGTCGGATTTTGATGAATTTGATATGGTTAGATTCATGAGTAAATGATCTTTCTAGTTTGTGACTTTTGTCGGATTTCGAGACATGGGCCGGGGGGACAGGTTTGAGCCGGGTTTTGGTCTAATTTTGTAGCTTTTCTTGTGGAATTCATTCCATTAGCACGTATTGATGGTATTGTACTGATTGTGAATAGATTCAGAGCATTTGGAGGACGAGTCTAGAGTCAAGAGCATTGCGGGTAGAGATTTGACCTATTCGAGGTGAGTAACGATTGTAAATCTAGTTCTGAGGGTACCAAATCCCGGATTTTGTATCATTCTACTATTTTTAGTGACGCACATGCTAGGTGACGGGCGTGTGGGCGTGCACTGTTGGGGATTGTGACTTGGTCCGTCCCATAGAAAATGTAAAGTTGCATACTTTGTTGAAACTATATGATACTTATATGTTTTAGAAAGAGTTTATGTAAATTGGGTTGAATGACATGTTTGGGCCTTGTGCCAGTGTTGTTTGGACCCTTAGGGGCCTTTTCTTACTATTCTCTCATTGTTTTCGATTGAAAATCTATACTCAGTCATGGTTATACTTGTTTACTGCATACCTCAGTTTTATGACTCTATTTTGATGCATATAAATGTTCTTTTGGGCCGAATGCTCTATTTTTACTGAAATGCCCGAGTGACTTGAGAGGTTTATGACTGAGTGAGGCCGAGGGCCTGATTTGTGAGGATATTTATGGGATTGGGATACATGCCGCAGTATGTTTGATATCGGCCGAGGGCCTGAGTGATTTATTTCATGATTTGGCTAGATATAGCGATTGGGCTGATCGAGCCCCTCCGGAGTCTGTAAACACCCCCAGTGAGCGCAAATACCTACTGAGTGCGAGTGCCGAGTGCTGAGTGACTGGGTAGCATGAGTGATTGTGAGGTATGCCCGAGTGGCAAAGAGTGATTGTGAGGTATGCCCGAGTGGCAAAGAGTGATTGTGAAGTATGCCCGAGTAGTTCGAGTGATTGTGAGGTTTGCCCGAGGGGCTGTTTATGATTTCATCATTTTTTTCTCTCTTTTGCATTTTTCCTCTGTTTGAAAACTGTTGAAAAATATATATTTAATTGATTCAAATCCTGATTTTAAAAGCATGTGGTATTTTTACTGAGATTTCCTGATATGAACATTATATGCTTTATTGCTCGTCATTACTGCTCAGTCATTATTTATTATTGTTACTTACTGTGTTGGAGTACTCATATTACTCCCTGCACCTTGTGTGCAGATCCCGGTGTAGCTGGACATGGTAGCGGTTGGTGATTGTTCTGATTGCAGATTTTCCCGAGGATAGCAAGGTAGCTGCCTGGCGATCGCAACCCTGCTCTTCTCCCTCTTATCTTTCTCTTGTTGTATTTAGCTATTTTTCAGGCTGAGTTAGCCTTGATATTATTATGCAGATTGTAGTAGATGCTCATGACTAGTTACACCCCGATGCCGGGCTATTCCTTCTGCACTTTTATTTTGATTGGAACTCTTTTACGAAGGTTTTTGTGTTAAATAACATTGAAATTATCTTTGAAATAAAAATATCGGTTTGTTTTGGAAATGAGTCATCTTGCCTAGTTCCACGATGTGTCGTGACATATTGGTATCAGAGCCTAGGTTACATAGGTCTCACGAGTCATGAGCGGGTTTAGTAGAGTCTTGCGGATCGGTACGGAGACGTCTGTACTTATCTTCGAGAGGCTGCAGAACCTTTAGGAAACTCCAATTCTTGAATTCTTGTCGTGCGAATCTGTTGGTTCTAGTAACTAAACATCTGTTGTTTTATTCTCTCACAGATGGTGAGGACTCGTGCTACCGGTCAGGAGGACCAGCCACTAGTACCACCAGCCGGGGTCGCTAGAGGCCGAGGCCACTATAGAGGTCATGGTAGAGGCAGAGGTGCAGCTCGTATAACAGCTGGGGGAGTACTTGCAGATCCACCGGTTGTCCCAGATCAGGACCAGGTTCCAGTTGGTGATGCACCAGCTCAGGCACCACCTGTGCCTATTGTGATTCCAAGCCTTCAGGAGGCCCTAACTCAGATTCTGACAGCGTGTACCGGCCTTGCTCAGGAGATCTCTAGCTCGACGGCCGCATCCACTTCTCAGGCTAGGGGAGGCACTCAGACTCCCGTCGCTCGCACACCCGAGTAGGTTATTCAGGGACTTCCGACACCGGAGGCACCACTAGCCCAACCAGTTGCAATTGCTCAGGATTATGTGGTTCCTGCCATGCCTGAGGATGATCATCGTAGGTTGGAGAGGTTTGGGAGACTCCAGCCACTACCTTTCAGTGGCATAGAGAGAGAGGATGCTCAGGACTTCTTGGACAGATGTTAGAGGATACTCCGTACTGCTGGTATTTTGGAGACTTGTGGGGTCTCATTCACTACCTTTCAGTTACTGGGGCTGCACTCAGATGGTGGGAGACTTATGAGAGGCGTAGGCCTGTTGGCGCAGCACCCCTTACTTGGCAGCAGTTCTCCGTGGTCTTTTTGGAGAAGCTCGTGTCTCGATCCTGCAGAGAGGAGCTATGCAAATAGTTTGAACGGCTTCGCCAGGGTGATATGTCTGTGACACAGTATGAGATGTGGTTCTCTAAGTTGTCCCGTCATGCTATCTGGTTGGTTCCCACGGACAGGGAGAGGATCATGAGGTTTATTGATGGTCTCACTTATCAGCTACAGTTGCTCATGACCAGAGAGAGGGTTTCAGGTGCTTCTTTTGATGATGTTGTCGACATTGCTCGGCAGATTGAGATGGTTCGCGGTCAGGAGAGGGTTGAGAGGGAGGCCAAGAGGATTCGTGGTCGGGGTAGATTCAGCAGTGCTATTTTTGGGGGTCAGTTCAAGCACGGTAGAAGTCTTCATTTCAGACAGGCTCAGTCATCTCGGCCATTTCATCGGGGTGCATCATCTGGCCATAGTTCTAACAGTTTTGATCAGGGCCACTCATCACTTAGTGCCTTTCCAGCTTAGATTTCGTCCCGTACTCCACCTGTTCAGGGCTCTTCCATCCAGGTTCTTCTACCAGTCATCCCGGTACTAGGGGTTCCCCTCAGTTTCTGCCACCAACACCAGAGAGTTATTTTGAGTGTGGGGAGTTTGGGCATATGTGGAGGCATTTTCCTCGTCGTCATGGAGGTCTATCTCAGCAAAGGAGTCAACCTCCGACTTCAGCTCCAGTTACCTCACCATCCGCACAATCAGCTCGGGGTGGAGGTCAGTCAGTTAGGGGTCGCCCTAGAGGGGGAGGCAGATTATGGGGTGGCCAAGCCCATTTCTATTATTGTGGACTACGTATATCAGTCATGTGTGGTGACTATTGGGGGTATGGAGACCCAAATAGACCTTTTGCTGCTCAGTATGGTTGACTTTGATGTGATATTGGATATGGATTGGTTATCTCCATGTCATGTTGTTCTAGATTATCATGCTAAGACGGTGACATTGGCTATGCCGGGAATTCCAAGGGTTGAGTGGAGCGGTTCTGTAGATTATGTACCAAGTAGGGTGATTTCATATTTGAAGGCTCAACGCATGGTTGAGAAGGGTTGCCTATCTTATTTGGCTTTTGTGAGGGATGTTAGTGCAGAGACTCCTATCATTGATTCTGTTCCGGTGGTACATGATTTTCCGGATATGTTTCCTGCAGACCTGTCAGGCATGTCGCCTGACATGACTTAGGTATTGATTTGGTACCGGACACTCAGCCAATTTCTATTCCACCGTATCGTATGGAACCGGCAGAGTTGAAGGAATTGAAAGAACAGCTTCAGGAACTCCTTGATAAGGGGTTTATTCGGCCTAGTATGTCACCTTGGGGTGCACCTGTTCTATTAGTGAAGAAAAAGGATGGTTCCATGAGAATATGTATTGATTACAAGCAGTTGAACAAGGTCACAGTCAAGAACAAGTATTCTTTGCCTCATATTGATGATTTATTCGACTAGCTTCAGGGAGCGAGGGTGTTCTCCAAGATTGATTTGAGGTCCAGTTATCACCAGCTGAAAATTCGGGATTCAGATATCCTTAAGACGGCTTTCAGGACCCGATATAGCCATTATGAGTTCTTGGTGATGTCTTTTGGGCTGACCAACCCCAACATCGTTCATACATTTGATGAACAGTGTATTCCATCCCTATTTGGACTCATTCATCGTTGTATTCATTGATGACATCCTGGTGTACTCTCGTAGCTAGGAGGAGCACGCTCAGGATTTGAGGATTGTATTACAGAGATTGAGGGAGGAGAAGCTTTATGAAAAGTTCTCCAAGTGTGAGTTTGGCTCAGTTCAGTAGCATTCTTGGGACACGTGGTGTCCAGTGAAGGTATTCAGGTGGATATGAAGAAGATAGAGGCGGTGCAGAGTTGTATTTAGGCTCCCACAGACTTCGAGGAAGCTCGATGCTATTTGGGTTATTGTGGATCCGCTGACTAAGTCCGCGCACTTTATTCCAGTTGGTACTACTTACTCTTCAGAGTGGTTGGCCGAGATTTATATCCGAGAGATCATTCGCCTGCATGGTGTCCTAGTTTCCATCATTTCAGATAGGGGTACTCAGTTCACATCGCAGTTTTAGAGGGTCGTGCAGCGAGAGTTGGGTACTCAGGTTGAGTTGAGCATAACTTTTCACCCTTAGACGGATGGGCAGTCCGAGAGCACTATTCAGATATTGGAGAACATGTTGCGTGCTTGTGTCATTGACTTTGGGGGTTCATGGGACCAGTTTCTACCACTCGCGAAGTTTGCATATAACAACAGTTATCAGTCGAGTATTCAGATAGCTCCGTACAAGGCTTTATAAGGTAGGAGGTGTAGATCTCCGGTTGGATGGTTTGAGCCGGGTGAGGCTAGGCTCTTAGGTACAAACTTGGTCCAGGACGTATTAGATAAGGTGAAATTGATTCAGAAGCGGCTTCGCACAACGCAGTCTAGGAAGAAGAGCTACGCGGATAAGAAGGTCTTTGATGTGTCTTTTATGGTTGGGGAGAAGGTTTTGCTGAAGGTATCACCCATGGAGGGTGTTATGAGGTTNAGCTTGTCGAGTGTGCATCCAGTGTTTCATATTTCCATGCTCCGGAAATATATTGGAGATCCGTCCCATATTTTGGATTTCAGCACGGTTCAGTTGGAGGGTGATATGACTTATGATGTGGAGCCGATGGCTATTTTGGATCGGTAGGTTCGAATGTTGAGGTCAAAGGATATAGCTTCAGTGAAGGTGCAATGAAGAGGTTAGCCTGCGGAGGAGGTCACATGAGAGACTGAGCGGGAGATGTGGAGCAGATATCCACGCCTATTCGACACTCCAGGTATGTTTCTAGACCGTTCGAGGATGAACAAATGTTTAAGAGGGGGAGGATGTAACGACTTGGCCGGTCATTTCGAGAGCTATAGCCCCGTTTTCCCCATTTCTACTTATTTTCGTGTTATTCAGCTATATTATGTTATATCGGTTTAGTTGATTCTGGACCGGAGTGGTTTTAGAGTGAATTGAGACACTTAGTCTGTTAAATAGAAACTTAAGTTAAAAAAGTCAACTGGATATTGACCTATGTGTCAACGATCTCGGATTTGAATTCTAATGATTCCGTTAGCTCTGTTAGGTGATTTTGGACCTAGGAGTGCGTCCGGAATATGATTTGGAGGTCCGTGGTAGAATTAGGCTTGCATTGGCGAAATTGAAAATTTGGCGATTTCGGTCCGCAGTGAAAAATTTGATATCGGGGTCAGAATGGAATTCCAGAAGTTGGAGTAGGTTCGTAGTGTCATTTGTGATGTGTGTGAAAAAATTAAGGTAATTCGGACGTGGTTTGGTTGGTTTCGGCATCGGTTGCCGAATTTGGAAATTTACAAGATCTTAGGCTTGAATCCGAGGGTAATTTGATGATTTGATATTGTTTTGAGTGATTCAAAGGTTCGACTAAGTTGATATGTTGATATATGACTTGTTGGTATTTTTGGTTGAGGTCCTGAGGGTCTCGAGGTGATTCCGGGTGGTTAACAGATTTGTCAAAGTTGGAAAATGCAGTTGAAGCTGCTGCTACTGCTATTTTCGCACATGCGGAAGAAAGAGTCGCAGGTTCGAGGTCACTGGTGCGCGTGGGGAGTTCGCAGGTACGGGCAATGCTGGACTAGGTAAAATGCGCAGGTGTGAGTTGGAGGTAGCATCTGCGAGCTCGCAGGTGCGAAACCTGGGGCACAAATGCGGAAAGGGGAATGCTAGGTAGGCTTCGTAGAAGCGGAGGAAACACGCAGGTGCGCCTTCGCAGGCACGGGGTTTTGGGCCGAAGATGCGGAATCTGGGCTCCTAAGTGAGTTCCGCACCTGCGATGGATTTTTCCGCAGGTACGGTGGCGCAGAAGCGTGACATTTTCCGTAGGTGCGAAAAACCTGGGCAGAAACCTTAAATAGAATCCTTTGCGAATTTGGTTCATTTCCACCATTTTCAAGTCGGTTTTTGGAGCTTTTAGAGTGATTTTGAAGGGTGATTCAAGGGCTATCAGTGAGGTAAGTTGCTTGAGCCCTAATACTCGTATATATGGTGATTTCCCGTTATTTAATCATGTAATTAGTGAAAATGAGGGTTTCGGGCTTGGAATATTTGGAGAGTAATTTAAGGATTTGAAGGACCAAACGATGCCGGAATTTGATGAATTTGATATGGTTAGATTCGTGAGTGAATGAGCTTTCTAGTTTGTGAATTTTGTCGAATTTCGAGACGTGGNGTTCTGATTGTAGATTTTTCCGGGGATAGCAAGGTAGCTGCCTGGCGATCGCATCCCTGCTCTTCTCCCTCTTATCTTCCTCTAGTTGTATTTAGCAATTTTTCAGAGTGAGTTAGCCTTGATATTGTTAGACAGATTGTAGTAGATGCTCATGACTAGTGACACCCCGATGTCGGGCTTTTCCTTCCGCACATTTATTTTGATTGGAACTCCTTTACAAAGGTTTTTGTGTTAAATAACATTGAAATTATCTTTGAAATGAAAATATCGGTTTGTTTTGGAAATGAGTCGGCTTGCCTAGTTCCACTATAGGTGCCATCACGAGAGGGGTTAGTTTGGGTCGTGACAATCGCAAGTCAACAGATGGCTATGTAATATACTTTGGCCCAAACCTGATATCCTGGTCATCCAGCAAGCAACGAACAGTGACACTTCTACCGAGTCTGAGTACAAAGCATTAGCTGATGCTGCTGCAGAATTGATGCGGACTCAATCTTTGATGATTGAGCTTGAAGTTTAGCTGCCTCGCGCTCCAATTTAATGGTGTGATAATATTGGTGCTGCATACCTCATACCTGTCTACTAATCCTATTTTTCACTCGCACTAAATACGTTGAGATATATTTTCAGTTTGTCCGAGATAAAGTTGCGAGACGTGACCTGCTGGTTCAATTCCTCTCTTCCAAAGATCATGTGGCTGATATTCTCACAAAACCACTCGAAACAAGCAAGAATTCAGTTTTTCCGGAACCCCCATAATTTACCTTCTATATAAGCCCCTGGATGTCATACCTACCCCTTCTAGTACCACGTGCAACTATGAGCAAAGTATAATTAATGCACTAAGATATATAGCTTGGACTTTCAACTTTGTGGTTGCAGCCTTTGCAATTCTTGCAGCTACAAAGGAGTTGGTGAATGCTGGTTCTTAATCCTTTTTTTTTGGGTGTAATTAATCTTTTCCTTTATTTTCATCAGCAATATCTCAATTCCGGCTGTAAGAATACCCTCTTTTGGGTGGCATGTCACTTCTGGAATTCATAATTTGCAAACATGAAATTCTGATTCAGATTACACCTTTTAAAATGGAAAGCCACCGGTTAAATGGATTTAGTATAATTACTAAGGTAGTAATCACACAGCCTAGTGGTTACACATTATTATAATTACGGTGACCTTTTTGTTTGTCATAGTGTAATTACAAGTTTACTATTTGATTGTACAAGTATAATTACACAATTAGATTAAATTTTAGATATAGAGTTAATTATCAAAATTAAAATTTAATATTGAACAAATATATGCCTTTATAAATAATACGTATTAAATTTGACATTTAAGATAGATATTATTTCTTGAAAATATATTAATTAATAATTATATATTTGTAACTAATATTGTAAAAATAATTGATATATATTTTTCAAATTAATAATATTTTAATTTAATCAATAATACAAATTAAAATTACATATGTTATATGAACATATATTCAAAATCCAAAAAGAAATTAACATGTACTCTTATGTAAAATATAACATAACATAAAATAAGTTTTAATATAATTCAAAAGAAAAGAAATACATAAGTACAATGAGATTCTACTTTAATGACATCACTCATTATATGCTAAGTTTATTGATAATTTATTATATCTAATATTAGGAGTAGATTCAAAACTAGAATAATGGCACAATTATGCTAAATGAAGAAAATAAAAAAATAAAAATGTGAGCAACTATATGGAATCACAAAAAATAAAAGTTGGAAAATGAAAATATTATTTAAATATTAAAAAGTAATCTATCATTTTAACATAGTTAAGTTTACATATAACTCATCAAATAACAAAGTTCAACTTTAATGACATCAAGTCAAGTTTGTGAAGGACTTATTCTTTTTAAGATTACGGGTATAATCTTTTAGAAAAATTAGAATTATAATGTAGCTATGTGTAATAATGAGAAACAAGGCTTGTAGTAGTTTATCTAGTTGGAATGACATGTCTTTTATGGCAAAGCAAGAAAAAGAAAAAAGGAATAACATGTCTTTCAACAATATCCATGCTTATGCAGAGAAAGCAATAAAGAAGTAAAACAATAGACACAACAGAAACGGAAAGATGGAGCAGTTTTATTACAACTTAGAAAGAGAACATGAAATGCGGTGACTCCTTAATCCTTATCAAAGAGCATCATCATACCTTAGCTTGATTTCTGGCATGAAGAGAGAGAAAGCTGTGTTGCGGATATATAGTTATCACTGCTGAGGTAATCTCTGTCGTTTGGAAAGAAACCACTAAATCATTCACAATATTCCATCTACTACATATAGTGCAATATAAGTCAACATATATACATTAAAAGAAGGAATACTCATGTAGACATGCATATTATTGATGCAAAGGACACTCAAACCTTTATATATTGACTCTGAAGAATGAAATAATCATGGAAGAAACAACAACAACAACAACCACCCAGTAAATCCCACTAGTGGAGTATGGGGAGGGTAGTGTGTACGCAGACCTTACCCCTACCCGAGAGAGTAGAGAGACTATTTCCGATAGACCCTCGGCTCATCAAGACAGAAAAGAGATAATATATCAATACCATCAACGGAAAATATAGATGACGGAAGAAACAACCATAATAAGAATAATGATACAGTCTCAAAGGTATATCTAATAGTAATGGCAGTAGCTGGACATGAATATATATTGTAAGTCATTTCAATAGGAAAAAAAAAAAATTCTACTAACCTTTCAACTGCATGTGACCATCTATCTATTCAGTATCAGGGGGCGATAACGTGAGCTTGAATTTGATGCTTTTCATGAGTTTCCTGCGCTCTATTTCTCTCGCTGATTTGGCTGCTTTTCTTGTGTTTTCCAGCTTCATCTCTTCAAAGCTAGGTACATCAGCCAGCTCACATGGCAGTGCTTCAAGATTTTCACAAGATTTAAGAACAAGGTGCCTAAGTTGTGGGAAATGATATTCTGAAGCCTCCCAATTTTCCAAGTCTGCCCCTTCAATCTTTAAGACCTGGAGTTCATTAAAACCACCTCGTTTCACCTTCCATAACATCCCCTCGAATGCATTTTCTTTCAATTTCAGGACCTCAAGGCATTCCAACCGCCCCAGTATATCCGCCTCGCTCCAATCAAACATTGTATTAGACAAAGTTAACTTCTTCAGTGTGCGTAGACACTTGAAAAATGGAGGAAGATAAGGTTTACGAGAGTATGAACCATCATTGTATATTATCAAACGTTCCAGGCACCATAGCTCTTTAAGATTTTGCCATCCACCCTTGCTAGTTTCAAGGAAAGCCTCCATATTCCTTCGGATACCCAACTTTTTGAGATTACAAGCTTTTGCAAAGGCATCTTTCGTGCAACTTTTCGGTGTAATCAGAGAAAGAGTTTGTAGGCAAGAAGCTTCACCTGTTGGGATAGGAGGTAGCGGCAATTCTGCAGGGACGTTGGTGTGAAGATGCCTCAACCGCAATAACTTCCATATGTCTGCTTTTATCTCAAGGGTGGAATTTGATGTATTAAGTATAAGAGTTTGTAAATATAAGAATTTACCTAAGGGTACAGGAATAACCTTGAAGTCACCTGAGATAGCAATATATCTCAATAGAAATAACTGGAGAAACTCTTTGGAGAAAACAAGATGGCCGGATTCAAAGTCCAAAACCCTAAGCAATGGAAAGGCTTTGGTGATATGTTTGATGTCACTTAGCGACAACCTCATTTGACTTTGTGTTGAGGTAAAACAGTAAAAAGATCTAAGATGCTTTCCTAATGGCTTTGTGGAGAGAAAATCATTCAGAACAGAGGATTGAACACACAATTGACGAGTAGTCTCTGGTATACTACTGCCAATATCTTCATATACTTGTTGAAAAGACCATCTTTTGGCCTCCTCTTTGCAAAACTCGTGCAAAAGGTCATGAACACGACATGTTTTTATATGACCACAAGAGCTTTTTTGGATCACCATTACTAGATTCCTATCGACGAGGCTTTGCAAACATTTTTCTGCTCTCTCCTCAAGCGATGACGATGGGTTGTACTCTATTAAGCACTCAGCAATCCATAAGCGGATCAATTTCCAAGCTGGGATATCAAATCCTCGCGGAAAGACGCTGAAATACAAGAAGCACAACTTCATTTCCTCAGTCAAATGATCGTAACTCTGGTTTACAAATTGATACATGGTTGTACTGTCGTCATCGTCATTCATCTCATGTTCCACCATATTTTCCTCGAATATTTGCCATTCTATTTGGCTCCTCCAACCTCTTAATGCTCCTGCAATTATCACTACCAAAATTGGTATTCCACTACATTTTTGTGCGATTCTTTTTCCAAGTCCGATTAACTCATGATCAGGACAACTTCTCCGGCTGAAAACTTTCATTTTTAACAACTCAAAACTTTCATCTGGAGTCAGAAATTTCAGATAATGAGGATGTGAATCGGCATAATTAGTAATAATAGCCACGTGGCGCATGCGAATGGTCATCAGGATACGGTGACCTTTTCCATCTTCTCCAAAAATCCTTCTGAAGAAATCAACAACATCAGTGGTCCGTACGTCGTCCAAGACAATAAGACGTCTACCTCCTTTATCCAAAATACCAAGTATTATCTCCTGTAAATCATTTTCATTCATATCTTCATATTGTTCCCAGCTTCTTGTGGTGATCAGCCCTTTGAGAAAAGAAAGACAGATATCCTTCACCTTACCTAAATGGCCGACGGTAATCCAAGAGCAGCTGAAAAATTCATGCGAAATTCGAGTATCATGATATATTTTTCTTGCCAGTGTGCTTTTGCCCTGTCCGACCATACCCACAATGGGAACAATTACATCATGATAGCCCGATCCTCTAAGAAGTCGCTCGATCACTACTTCTGCTTCCTCGTCAAAGCCGATCACTTCGTCATCCTCTGACTCAGGACCCTTTAAAGATTAAACAGAATCTTCTTTATTAATTTTGAATTAGAATTAAAAAGAGAAGTCCCAAGCCTTGGCCTTTGGACTATGTTTGAGTTGCAAACTGAACTCCAGCTCGTTTGTACAGGTTGTTAAATATTTTATTGTAAAATGAGTGGGAGAATGTTGGTATATTTTATTGTATCGTATTAGTATTACTTTAGATACAATATTTGTTTGGAATGTTATTTAATTTTATTGTATCGTATTATTAAATCTGTTGTTACGTAATAACGAAAAGTGTCATTTTATGGAACGACCAATTTGGTGTGGTGGCATCGTTACCTTATTTTTTTCTCTCATTTTGCTCTTCCTTATTATTAAATAATTATATTATATCCTACTTTTTATACAATAATTCTACTCTGTATCCTATTTTTTCTTAGTAATGTTGCAAGCTTATTCTTCATATTGTTGGTGCATGACATCATGAAACGACGACAAACGATACAATCTATCCAAACGTTGTATTCATTAAACAACATAGTCCAATATAATTCATTATGAAACGAGTAACAACAATTCTCTTTTTATTTATCATCTTAGTATAAGTTAGGAAAAATTATTTTAATAATTTGAATGAATTAAGTACATACATCCAATGATACAACAACAACAACAACCCAGTATAATCCCACTAGTGGGATATGGGGAGGGTAGTGTGTACACAGACCTTACCTCTACCCTGGGGTAGAGAGGCTATTTTCGATAGACCTTCCCTCCAAGAACTCTCCACCTTGCTCTTGGGGTGACTCGAACTCAAGACCTCTTGGTTGGAGGTGAGAATGCTTACCTTTAGAGCAACTCACTTTTATATTAATAAGATAGAATAGTACTAGCACATAAAGGAGCAGGTTTTCTCTTTTTACTACTCCTTACAATATAGTTATCTTACATACAGATTGAAAGAAGGGAGTTTTGTGTAACATTTAAAATCACATCGAAGTTGTGTCACAAGCCGAAACATTAAAGGAGGTTTATATATACACTAAAGCCTATCCATAAGAGCATTGATTGTTTTTTTATTTTATTGTAAAATGAGTGGGAGAATGTTGGTATATTTTAGTATTATAATATTAAAATTATTTTATGCTATGATCTCTTATTAATTTTCATTATCCATGATCTTGAGAAGTGGCCATAAGTCCCACTAACTCACAATTGGCCACAATTGCTTTGTAACTACTCTCCCATTTTTTACTAAATTTACACACGAACTCATCCATTAACCAATGTTTTTCATGATCTCATAAAATTCCTATACCTACAAATATGAGTGTTTCTTTCATAATATGGTGTAGCTTAAAAAATAACCGAATTCTGCTAAATTCCGTATCGGTCGAAATTAGTACATAATCATTCACATTAATCATGCATATATTCAGAAAACTATTTAATAGCTTAAATTTTAAGGGTTATTCCATTTATTTACCCTTTGTCTCTCCTTATAAGGATAAACCACTCTTGAGAAACTTTTAGGGTATATTTAGAAAATCATGTGTAATTACACGACTATGTAATTATTAAGTAGTAATTACATAATTTGATAATTACATAGTATATTAATTACAATAACATGTTTGCACGTCGAAACGTAATTACAATGCATTTTTTACTATCATGTTTGGTTGTACAAATATAATAATTAAATAATTTTTTAAAATTGACATGTAGATAAATTTTATTATGCCACAAATATATGCAAATTAAAAATATAAATATTATTCATTATGAGGTATTTAAAATAAATGTTTATCTGTAAAATATAATAATAATTGAATAATTATGTAAGATACAATTTCATCTAATAATTTAATGAATGTTACTCCAATTAGAAGGGAAGTTTAATTTGCTACACTATTAAACGTCTACGTGAATTTGCATGATGTAAATTTATCTTCAAGGGAAACTAGCCAGACAAGTGAGACTTGCTCAGTTGGTAAAACACTTTTACCCACGGCCGTTAGGTCCTGGGTTTGAGTAACGCTGGAGGGAAAGCGTGAAAACATTATAGATTCTCCTATTTGGATGGGATTTTAAAGAAAAAAATAAGGGAAAAGTAATGAAAAAACGATTCAAGTGTTAAAACTGCGCTAGTACAAAAACTCATAAATATTTAATAGCACAACTAAGTAAAACAAAGAAATACACGCCCGGAATTGGAATGTTGGAAAATGAGAAGAAAAAAGTAGTGTAGAAAAATGAATTTGAAAAAGTCACATTGTAATTACATGGTGTAATTATTACTAATTATTCGGGCGCGTGCAAAGACGAGACATAGATACTCCGGTTAGGAGGTGTGTGAGATGTTGACCATGACGGGTCTAAGAAAGTATAGGGGTAGGCCAAAAAAGTATTTGGGGTGAGGTGATTAGGCATGACATGTTATTGCTCCAGCTTACCGAACCGAGGACATGACCCTCGATAGAAAAGAGCGGAGATCGAAAATTAGGGTGGAAGGTTGACATGTAGTCGTTAGTGTCTCTTCGTCTTACCAGTAGTACTAGTACTATTTGTGTATTTTTCTTATTCTTGGTTCTTTATTATTACATGTTGTGCCATTTGCTGCTATTGCATTATTGTTGTCACTGTTTGTTACTTTGTTTTCATTGTTCCTTGAGCCGAGGATCTATCGGAAGCAGCATCTCTACCTTCACAAGGTAGATGTAAGGTCCGCATACACATTATCCTCCTCAAATCCCACTTGTGGGATAACACTGGATTTTTGTTTGTTATTGTTGCCACTGTTTGTTACTTTGTTTTCCTTGTTCCTTGAGTCGAGGATCTATCGGAAGCAGCATCTCTACCTTCACAAGGTAGAGGTAAGGTGCGCATACACATTATCCTCCTCAAACCCCACTTGTGGGATAAAACTGAATTTTTTTTTTCTGTTGTTGTTGTTGTTGTTCTCATCTCTGTCTTGAAAATTGGAAATGCAATTACATTCATTCAATTACACTCAATTCCATGTAATTACTCAAATTAACATGTTATTAAATTATGTAATTATATCCAATTATACACAAATTTAATTTTTAGATGACTTTCCAAACATGCTCTGGCAATCATTTATGGAGCTAGGGTAGATTTGGAAACAAGTAATTAAATTTGATTGGTTAAAACAATATTTAGTTACAAAAGTGAGCCAAAATCTCACGTGCGTCTCTTCAAGCTGTACCTACTACTAATCAACAAAAATTCAATGATCTTATTACTTCAATTCCACAACGGAGAGAGAGTAAACTACTGTCTGTCTCACTCCCTATTTGATAGCCGTAATTAGGGGCGGTAAACAGGCGGGTTCAGTCGAATACAGATAAAAAACGAGTTAATCTGCGGATAATATGAATATTCATATTATTCATGATTTTTTGAGTGTGATTATTTTTTGGAGAATTCCTAGTCTTACCAATTTGAGTTTCCCCCAATTTGAGGCTTTACAAATGTAAAGTTAAACCCATTACTTATTTTTTGATTATCTATTTTCTAAGTGGATAATATGGTTTTTATCTGTGTACGGTCAAAACCGATCCTCATTCATAAAGACCGGTCGAGACGACGACGTTTCGATCAAAGAATATCTACATGATGAGCTCGGTCGAATTCCGAAGTAGGGACGTCGAGCTTCGAGCCAATAGACCAATCAACAACAAGAGTCGGTATCATTGTCGAACCCATATCCAAATCGAACTACGAGACAATTCGTAGTTCATCGAAGATGCCTAGACCGACCAACACTCGCCCCGAATATCGATGCCCCAAGGCAGAATCAAGCTCAAACCAAGACCGGGGGCTCGATCTAATACCGAGCTCGAGCCAGTATCAAGCTCGGAGACAAGAGCCGTTACAACCGCACCAAGGGAGAGAATCTTAGCGAGAATCGAGGAAGAGACAAATCATCATGGGTCCTCCACTATATGCATTATTTTATTATGTTATTATAGATAAAGCAATGACCCTCTATTATAAAAGGGAGCATCCTTGTGAGCTAAAGACACACGGCAATAAACACATCCTTTTCTCAGATACATTGAGATTTCTTTGTGCTTGTTTCGTCTCAACTTATTCAATTTACCAGTATTTTATTTTTGTATCAAAGAAATTTGCGTATCCTTAGAACCATACCTAAATTTAACGTTATCTGATTTTTCGGGTAAACAGTTTGGCGCCCACCATGGGGCTAAGGGTAACAGTGATTGTTTGATATAAATCTACAGTATACTCAAGCTTACAACTTCAAGTCAGCAATGGCCCTACCTATCGACCTTGAAGCCGTCATTCAAGATGAAACCAACAACATGGCCCCCGGGGCCGGAAGGTTACCTGACGATGGCAACGAGGCTCGAATCGAGGAACCCGAAATTCAAGCTGAAGTACCATTGGATGTTAATTCACAAATAGCTCTGGAGGTGAATCAGCGTTCTGAACCGGAAAGAAGCATTCAGGGCGGTGCTCGACCCGCAGCCCGAGACACCCACAACATGGGGGAAATCAGGGTCAGCTTTGCGTATGATTTTCGAAATGCTACAAGCCCAACAAGCAGCGATAGCTCAGTTGCAGAGCCAAACTCATATGCAAAGCAGGCCAAACTCCAATCCACTTCTTCAAGAAGTCACCCCAGAACGGAGCCCGCCATAGTGAAATCAAACGAGCAAAAATCGAGGACCGCTCCTGAAATTGCTAAACTGCTCGAGGAACTCACAAAATGAGTCGAAGCCAACGACAAGAAAGTGGAAACGTATAATGCTAGGGTCGATCAAATCCCGGAGGATCCGCCAAAGATAAAAGGGCTTGATTCGAAAAAATTCATACAAAAGCCTTTTCCCTCGAGTGCGGCCCCAAAACCAATCCCCAAAAAATTCTGTATGCCTGAAATTCCCAAATATAACGGTACGACCGATCCTAACGAACATGTCACCTCCTATACATATGCCATCAAAGGCAACGATTTGGAAGACGATGAGATCGAATCCATGTTGTTGAAAAAGTTCGGAGAGACCCTCGCAAAGGGAGCAATGATCTGGTATCATAACTTACCACAAAATTCCATCGATATTTTTGCCATGTTAGCAGATTCGTTCATAAAAGCACATGCTGGTGCCATTAAAGTTGCAATAAGGAAATCAGACCTCTTCAAAGTAAAACAAAGGGGTAACGAAATGCTGAGAGAATTCGTATCCCGATTTCAAATGGAACGTATGGATTTGCCACCGGTCACAAACCATTGGGCCGTACAAGCTTTCACCCAAGGGTTGAACGAGCGAAGTTCGACAGCATCACGTCGGCTAAAACAAAATTTGATCGAGTACCCAGCAATAACTTGGGCAGATGTACACAACCGTTATCAATCGAAAATCAGGGTCGAGGACGATCAATTAGGAGCTCCGTATGGACCTGTGTATCAGAACCACACAACCACTAAAATCCAGAGGGAGATCAACAGAGAACCAAGGTCGAACAGAGACCGATATCAACCGTACGTCACAGATCGGGCGAACAACGGTTCAGCATATCATACAGTTCGGAACAGTCGAAAGACTGATAGAGGGAAAAATTCTCGACGACTTATGAGCAAGAGCGACTTTGATAAATATGCTGATCCTATAGAAGTTCCTCGATTATCGGAATATAACTT